TGGGATCGAGCCCCGCATCACGCTCCCTGCTCGGTGGGAAGCCTGCTTCTCCCTCTCCCACTCCCCCTGCTTGTGTTCCCTCTCTCGCTGTGCCTCTCTCTGTCAAATAAATAAATAAAAACCTTTAAAAAAAAAAAAAGGCTGAATTTTATGGCCTGAATTTTTTAAGGCAAAGAAATGTAGTTCAAATTAGTATCTTTTATATCGACCTTCCATAAATGGTGAAATTAATTCTTAATTTAATAAGTGTAGTGGGCTGAACTGTGTCCCTCTCCCCCCCAAAAAATAAATACACATCCACCCAGAACCTCAGAATGTGACCTTACTTGGAATAAGGGCCTTTGCAGGTATCATTAAGGTTAAGGATCTCACGATGAGATCATCCGGGAATAGGGTGGCCCCTAAAAGCAATGGTGGGTGTCCTTACAAGAAACAGAGAAGGAGGGACACACGAGGGGACAGTCACCTAAGGGTGGCAACAGAGAAGAATCCTGCAGGTGCAAGCAGCAAGCAGAAGCCCAGAGAGAGGATGGAGCGGATGGGCCCTCATTCCCCAAAAGGAATCAACCTTGCCAACACTTTGCTGTCAGGCTCCTGGCCTCCAAAATTATGAGAGAAAAATTTCTATCGTATTAAGCCACCCAATTTGTGATCACTGGTTATGGCAGCCATAGAAAATGATAAAAAGGCCATCTTAGCTAACATTCAGAAATGTTATCTGATGAATAATAAAGTCAGTACAGGGATGAGCACAGGCAATGTACAAAGATAAATAGTTGATATCATTAGTCTGTCTTAGACACTAATATGTCTCCAACAAAAAAATAAAAAGTCATTTGTAGCTAAAATCTCTGAAATTCATGAAGTTAGTATTCACTCTGTTAGTAAGTTAGAGAGATCTCTGTGCTCTAGTGGAAGGCAGACTTAGCATCCCATGTCCGTGGTGAAGGGCCTGAGTCATTCCTGAGTCAGTCAAATCCCACCTCTCCTATACCTTTCCTATAACCTTAGCTAGTAAAAAAAGTGGATCTCTTTATGCAAAATAAAGCTCTCCCCCCACGTTTCTGTTTCTTTTTAGTCTCTTCCCTGATGATTTCACTCTCCTGCAATGGCTCCCCAGGACCCAGAAGACAAGTCCGAGCATCTTAGGAGACACACAAGGCCCTGGGTGATCTGGCCCCTGTCCGCTGCCCAGCTTCTCCCACCATCGCCCCCTGACTCTGGACATCAGCATGGTGTCAGCAACAGCTGACCAAGCTTTTGTCCACCTGCTGATTGCATCTGGTTATCACTGGGATCATCCCCTTCTTCAGTCTATTCGTCTATACTTCAGTTTCTCCCATTCCACGTCCACAATTTTTCCCATATCCACATACAACCTATGGTCATCATTTTTTTTCTTTAAATCAACCATCTTTTGAACTTACCTGAATTTATTTCTATGAAAAGGAATTTTGTATGATTTCAGTAGAATTTGCCACAACTGGAAGATAACAATAAAGCAAACACTGTACAATGACCATGAGGAGCCCTGAGTCAGTATGAAACAGTTGATCACTATATTATACACCTGAAACTAATATAACTATGTGTTAATTATACTAGAATTAAAATTTTTTTAAAAAGAAGAAAAAAAACCCCACTGTACAATGAAAACAAAACAGTACAACTAGGTACTATTGCTTGTACTCAACCCTGAGCTTAAGGTTTATTCTTTATTTAAAATGTAGACTAGTATATGTTCTAGGGGCATAAAGACATAATAACCTCTAATTAAGATTTTCTCCTTGATAGTGAAGGAATTGGAAGAAAAATTAAAGGGAACCCATTTTTCACCTTATGATTGAACATTAGTGACCTGTCATGCAGTACCTAGTATTTTATGTGTCCCAAGAGCTATGTGCCCCACACCTGGAAATGTTGCTTTCCCCCATGGACACTAGAAGAAGAAACTGGTAAACCTGACATTATCACCAGAACGACACGTTGCATAATCACGTCGCCCAAAGAGCAAAACTTAATTACAAGAATCAGGCTTGCTTGTGAAAGGTTAAGTGGAAAGACCACTTACAGACAATTATCATCATCTAGGTGAAATACGATGCAGATGTGAGATATTGTTGCGACCAAATGGGAACATACTCCTCAGATACAGGGCTCAATTTCCACCAGCTGTTTTCCCCCTTCTGCTACAGAAAGCGTGGGCTCCTCTCTCCCCAGCACCATCTCCAGCTTATAGGGCTGTCTTGGCTAAGGGTCCCAGCACTACTCTCAATACATGTAGCCTGGAAGATGCCCTCCTCAGACCCACACCCCCAAGGTGCCATTCACCAGGAGCTGGCCCACTTCCAAAGCCACCCTTTCTCCACTCTCACCCAGTAGGTGCTGGACCCTGTTCCCGGGCGTCGCCGATGGGGAATCCCCTGTCCATCATCACCTCGTTGGCTGCTAGACTGTGAGCTGCCATGCTCCATGCAGGCCAACGTTACTCAGGTTCCGGAGACCCCACAGTACAAACTGCCACCCTCGGCAGTGATAAAATTAGCTACAATGGCAACTAATATTTGTATCCGGCTTTATAGTATATTCATTCACCATAGTATTCTATTTTAGCTGTAAGGTATCTGGCCACATGCGGAGAGCTAGCTGGGACCTGCCAGTTAATGTCCCTGAGTCCTGACAGCCCTTCGTCGGGCCCAGCCCAGGTCATTCGGAGACGGGAGCTCAGTTCTTAGAAACTGGCAAAAGCAAGGCAGGCCTCCAGTATCAGGGGAAGCAAGGGGCTTTGAGATGATAAGGGGATGGGCGGGGTAGAAAGAGCACAGCTGCAACCCAATTATGGAGAAGAGATGCTCAGCCTCTGAAGCCGTGTAGATTTCACAATGAGGTTAGCAGTGAAATAAACAGCAAGATTGAGTCAACCCTGACTTTTTAAATTAAGCTTCTTAATTTCTCCCAAGGACAGAAAAGTACACTATATGAGAAGGGGGAAATTTGTTGGTAGGGACCAGATGTCCCCAGCCGCAGGGTGGAGGGAACGAGGGAAAAGAAGCCATGCAACTCACACGGTACCTTCCAGCACCACCGCACCTTGTTTCCGAAACACAGTATGGTCTTATTAGGAAATGCTCCCTCAGGTCCTTCCTCTGGGATGCCATCAGGCATCATCAGGCCTCCCCAATGTCCCCCCCACTTAGTCATCCTTAGCAATCACCCAGACTGCTCCATGTCATTCTCTTCTCCTCTTCTTCTCCAGCTTGGTGTATGAAAATCCCCAGTGCTATTTACCCTTCCTTCCTATCACAGATTTCTTTGAGGAATTTGAACTATTCCATTGACACATGCTTACAATGAAACATGTCCCTTTCTTTATGACCGAATTTACTTCCCCGTTTTGAAATCCGAGTTCACTTTATTTATCATTCCTAGTCTATGTTTTGCTACCTGCCTATTTAACACCAATTATGGGAATTATGCTCATCTCTCCTCCCACATGAGGAAGCCAATGAATAGAACTGATTCTTCCCAAGTCCAAGGCTATAATAGTAGTCAAGTAGTAAATAATAGTAGTAAAGACATAATAACTTCTAATTAAAATTTTCTCCTTGACAATGGGAAGAATTGGAAGAAAAAACTAAAGGGAACCCATTTTTCACTTCAGGACTGAACATTATATAATGCCCTGTCACGCACCACCTAGAAACACTTTGTATCCACCACAGGACATTTGAAAACCTGGCTTTACATCACAGATGCTGCCTCAGCACCCCAGCAGCCCCTTCCGACCAGGGTGGGAGCAGTGGCTTGTGGACCCCCACCCCAACACCCCCCCAAAGATCAGTCTCAAGGTGTGAGGGGTGTGCAAGATACCTACCTCGATATTTGCTCCCCAGTTTTTGCACCCCATCAGATGCTTTCCCTTGTTTCCTGCTTTCCTTATTTTTAAATATGTTCCCTCCCCTGGCCTGTGTCTGCCCTTTTTCTCCTCGAGGGAAATAAGCCTCAACTCAGAAGGGCTTCAGGGGAAAAGAGCTAATGACTCAGGAGAAAAAAATACAATAGGAAATATTTCCTAAAATACTGTCCCCACCATACATATTTAAGTGCTAGCTTAATGCCAGGCTCCTTTTCCCTCTTGGTCTGTTTCCAGATTCAGAAACATTCCAGAAGTCCAGTCCAGAGCGCTCATCTGCAAAGAGCCAGGACATTATTCACATCTGTATTCACAATACGCATATCTGCCAGAAGTGGTATGTGCCTGTGAAGTCACATACCCATTCCAGGGGGCACACATACAGGACATTTAAAGATTCTGATTAAATTTGTTTAAGTTGTCATTCCTTTCTTCTCTGTCGTGATTAGAAGTGGAACACTTCAAATCCAGGAAGCACACTGCCCTGATCTGAGTACCTTCCTCCCTTCTGGGGATAAGGCATCTCACCGAGCTCATGAAACACTGTTTCCTGCCTGACTCTTCTCAGTGAAGGGCTGTGCTCATTTGCTCACTTCTTCCTAAGCAGATTCCCACGTGATAGCTCCCTACGTGATCCCAAATACCACAGTCACCCACACTTGGAAGAAATGCTTATATTTTCTCTACATCACATCACCCCTTTTCTTTTTTTCTTTGAATTCCAGGATAGTTCATATACGGTGTTCTAGTCCTTCCACGTGTACAATATAGGGACTCTACACTTCCACATCCTACTCAGTGCTCATCACGGGAAGTGGCCTCTTCATCCCCTCCACCTACATCACCCTTTTTTGATGGAATTTTCACGCAGCAGCCATGGCTTGGGTTCAACTATCGAGGAGACTCTACAATGATCTAATATGCTGATTTGTGTAGCTTTTGCATTTCCCCCACAACTCTAGAAAACCAGAGGAAGCTTTTGTCCCTGTTTCTCTTCTTCTGTGTCTGTTGTGAGACTTCCACTCTTTCACATAAACTAAAGGGGTAACTTGCAAAAAGCAACAAGGGAATCAAGCTGAGCACTTGCCTGCAGCTCAGCCAGCTTGGCTTTGAGCTCTGTGTTCGCTTCTCGACACGCACTCAGCTCCTTCTGCAGCCTCTCCACCCTCTTCTGCAACTTTCTTAGGGTGAGATTGGCCTCGTCCCTCTCCACAGCCAAGGCCGAGCGCACCTGCTTCTCCTCCTCCAGCTGGGCGATTTTCTGCCGCAGGAGGCCCATATGTAGTTCTTTGCTCTCCAGCCTTTCTTTCTGAGTCCTGAGCTGATTTGATACAAACAGGAATTTTTTAAAAAAATAATCACTGAACAGTCAGTAAATATAAATGAATCACTCGGATCATGTTGATCTTTATCTACACTTCAATAAGACTAATTTGTAAACCACCAGAAAAGGTTATTGGATTCCTTTTCCCGATTACATGTTTTATTCCTATTTTTCCAAGAATTAATTCTGTAGCTGCAAAGGATGAGACAAAAGAGCCACAGAAGACACAGAGAGAAGTAGGCTTTCAATATCTGATTCCCTCCCACAGTATGTACAGCATAATAGACACATAAAATTACTTTTAAAACTACTAAAATGGGCTTATCAAGATCAGAATAGGGTAGAGGGGCAAAATCCTCTCCACCACCCCATGGCAACTATACTTACACTGATCTTTTCTAAAGGAAGCCAGAGTGCAGGTTAGTACCAAAAACCTAGACTGGCTAATTTCAGTCCCTTAGAACCAGACTGAGCAACACCAAACATGAGAGTTGATCTATTTTTAAAGTAAGCTATACCAGGGAGAGTTTAGAGAAACCTTTGCTTACATGTTTAAAATCTTTAAAATAGAAGGGACATCAAGAAGGTTTTAGTTCGGGCGCCTGGGTGGCTCAGTTGGTTAAGCAACTGCCTTCAGCTCAGGTCATGATCCTGGAGTCCCGGGATCGAGTCCTGCATCGGGCTCCCTGCTCGGCAGGGAGTCTGCTTCTCCCTCTGACCCTCCCCCTCTCATGTGCTCTCTCTCTCAGTCTCTCTCTCTCTCAAATAAATAAATAAAACCTTTAAAAAAAAAAAAAAAGAAGGTTTTAGTTCATTGGTATCTTTATTATACACCTGGCCTATACCATCCACAAACCAAGCAGAGAACAAGTTCTTTAAACAGCACTTATCACTCACAGTCAAACTTGATGAAGGAAATTATGGTGGTTTTTAAAAAAAGATTATGGACTCTAAGGGGGGGAAAAAAATCCTCGTAGGCTTCATATGTCACATTTAGTGAGTGGAATATTAAGTACAGAACCCTCCTTCATCTGTTGCAAACACTGGGCATTGGAATCGTGTAGAATTCTAGAACGTTAGAGCTGAAGACTGTCGCATTTTCCCTAATTATATACTCCGCATTTGTAAAGTGTTCAGAGATGTGAAGGGCAGACTGAAACTCAGGCTTGTCTAACTATGACAGCATGGTCCATACCCAGATCCATCTTTAACAAAGCCCTTTTCATGTTTCTCTAGCCAAATTCCCTTCCTTGAGCTTTTTCACATCAAATTCCGCTCTACTGCAAAATTACACTGGTAAGTTCTGTACACTGGTAATTTTAATAATTATACAATACCTAAGAAGGAATGGTGTTGGATAAAGAGGAAGAAATCCATTATCTGAGGAGAACTCAAAGAACTATAGCTCAATTCAATGTCTCTGATGGTAATAGGGTTATCTGCTTTTTTTTAAATAAAATATTCCTAAAAATCCAGTAAATGGAGAAAAGGTCAAATGTGAATAGACTACAGTCTATAAGCCAAGAGTTTAAACATGTATTTTATTAAAAATGAACAACCTCATGAGGAAGATGTTATCCCCATCTAAAATATGAGGAAACAGAGACAGAGAGGTATGTAATTTGTCCAAGGTCACAGAGCTTCGTGGAACCAAACTGGGATCCCAGATGTGACTCATTACACAGCCTATACGCTATAATTCCACCACAGAATTTTCTCCTAAGAACTATTACAAGAACACATCTGTGTTTTGCTCTTTCTTTCACCAATGCCAATAATTATATAACTAATCATTATATTTTTATCCTTTTCATCCACTCATTCATTTATTTCGTCTAAACTGTTTCTCTTCTTTTGAGTGAGTGGAAAATTAGCTCTTCTCGCTTTACTATCCAATGCAAGAGAGTTTATTCAGGGGCGCCTGGGTGGCTCAGTTGGCTAAGCATCTGCCTTCAGCTCAGGTCATGACCCCAGGGTCCTGGGATCGAGCCCTGCATCGGGCTCCCTGCTCCACGGGAAGCCTGCTTCTCCCTCTCCCACTGCCCCTGCTTATGTTCCCTCTTTCGCTGTGTCTCTCTCTGTCAAATAAATAAATAAAATCTTTTTTAAAAAAAGAGAGAGAGTTTATCCAGTTGGAGACTGCTACATGTTTCCCAGTTCTCCTCATCTCTCTTAAGAATAAACAGTGAGTTTCTTTGCGAGGCAAGTGGCTACCCAGAGTAAAGACTACAGTTTCCAGCTTGCCTTGCAGCTAGTTTCAGCCATCAGAATCATGGGATATAAATACAAGTTTACATAGAAAACTCTGGAAGCCTCCATCAAAAGACAGCTCACACATGCTCTTTTGCATCCCTCTTCTTCATCCCTTTCTTCTCCAAAATCTGTCTAGAACACAGACATGATGATTCTAGGTACAATTTTGAACCACCAGGATGTGGACCACCCTAGGGATGGGAGATTAATGAGCTGAAATCAGCTGGGCTCCTTGAAAACTTTACAGAGCAGACTTGCCACACTCACCCTGAGCCGCCTCCCTCCAGAAATTTATGTGAGGTGGGCGGGGCCACTTCTAGTCATTTAAGTCACTTTTATTTGGGGTCTCTATTATTCAGAGTCACACATAACCTTAGGTGATATACTTACCATCCCTCAGACTTGAAACAGAGACTCAAATTCTAAGTACGTATTTGTATGTTTCCTAACTACAGTGGTAAATAGGAAAGAGGAGTACATTATTTTTCTATATTTAAGTCTCTCCGCAATTCCTTCTCTCAAGCAAGTTTCAATATCCCCTACCTTTCTCTGTAAATTGTGGGCAATAGTCTTGTTTTCAATGACTGCGTTGCTCTCAAGACGGACCAGCTGCTCCGTGCGAGCTAAAACTACATCCAGACGCATGTCAAAGCCAAGTTCAGCAGCCATCTGGTCCAATTTCATTTTCTCTGAGAGCTGATCCAGAAATTTAAGATACTAAACCCAAGAACAAAAATTAAAATGAGACACAAAAACAAAATTATCAGGTGATCTCACAGTATCCCAAGTTTACAGATAGGTCTCATTAAACCCAGTCTGTAGCCCAGCCCGGGACCCCAGTGCCTGGTAATGAATTCCTGAAGCACCATGTCCTGCTTCTTGTCCAAACTCACTTGACTCTCCTGGTCAGTGATCTTGATGTTCAACCTAACATTAGACACTCTTCGTCACCCCACCATCGGACAAATCTGGCACCATCCTGACTACATCCGCATGTCTCTGTTTTGGCTACTTGCTGCTACCATGGTGCCCCTTCCAGGTTAATCCAACCCCTGGGATCTACCCACTCACAAAACTTCCATGGCAATTTTTCCCACCTAAGTGGGCCCTGGCCTCAAATGTAAAAAAAAAAAAAAAAATGACAAGTTACCACTCCAGTCACTCCAAAATCAAAGCTCTCTCCATATAAACACACTTGGACAATGTTTTTGCTTTTTAAGTTAAAATCCTATACAAAAAACATGTCTTTAAGAGTTTTTAATGTATCATACTTTAAGGAATAACACTGTAAAACAGAGCTGTATCAAGGAAGTAAAGGTTCATATTTGAACAGGTTAGCATCACAAAACTGTTCTAGGATCTTCCTCCACTTGATTTCCTTTTTCTTTCTTCCAAGTTTTCATTTAAATTCTAGTTCGTTAACATATAGTATAATATTGGTTTCAGGAGTAGAATTTAGTGATTCATCACTTACATACAACACTCAGTGCTCATCATAAGAGGTGTCCTCCCTAATACCCATCACCCATCTAGCCCATCCCCTGCCCACCTCCCCTTCAGGAACCCTCAGTTTGTTCTCTATAATTAAGAGTCTGTTTTATGGTTTGCCTCTCTTTTTTTCCCCTTAATGTTCATTTGTTTTATTTTTTTTTTAAGATTTTATTTATTTATTTGACAGAAAGAAACACAGTGAGAGAGGGAACACAAGCAGGGGGAGTGGGAGAGGGAGAAGCAGGCTTCCTGCTGAGCAGGGAGGCCGATGCAGGGCTTGATGCCAGGACCCTGGGGTCATGACCTGAGCCGAAGGCAGACGCTTAACGACTGAGCCACCCAGGCGCCCCTCATTTGTTTTATTTCTTAAATTCCACATACGAGTGAAATCATTTGGTATTTGTCTTTCTCTGACTGACTTATTTCACTTAGCATAATACACTCTAGTTCTATCCGTGTTGTTGCAAATGACAAGATTTCATTCTTTTTTATGGCTGAGTAATATTCCATAACACACACACACACACACACACACACCACATCTTCTTTATCCATTCATCAGTCAATGTACACTGGGCTCTTTCCATAATTGGGCTATTGTTAATAATGTTGCTATAAACATTGGGGTGCATGTATCCCTTTGAATCAGTATTTTTTGTATCCTCCATTTGATTTCTGTGGTTTCTGGCCATGCCAGCCAGAGTAAGGCTTCCTAAGTGCTTGCTGGATGAGTGAACCAATCAATGAGTTTTCTGCATCATCACTTCATGATTTGGGTTCTCTCTTTGAAACTAGCCTCACCTTGCAGTAAGTCCTCATCTATCTGGCATCTCTGAGGCAATTATATGTTTAAATAAGTATAATTCCCTGATGACTGAATCATGCCAGTGTGAAGCCCAGAACTATCTATACTCTCAGTCATCAAGATGAAATTGTGAGTATTTCCAAATTTTGCTGAATGGCATATCTAAAATTTAATCTCTTCTTTGGGAGGCACAGTCATGGCAAAATACTGCTTATTGGCTGTGTTACAAGACCATGGGTTACTGTGTTGTGCTATAAGACCATAGGTTGCTTTTATTCACATCATCAATTTGTCACTTCTTTTGTTTTTGTTTTTTTTTGAAGATTTTATTCATTTGACAGAGAGAGACACAGACACAGCGAGAGGAAACACAAGCAGGGGGAGTGGGAGAGGGAGAAGCAGGCTTCCCGCTGAGCAGGGAGCCCGATGCGGGGCTCGATCCCAGGACCCCAGGACCATGACCTGAGCTGAAGGCAGAAGCTTAACAACTGAGCCACCCAGGTGTCCATCAATTTGTCACTTCTTTAAGCTGTATCAGCTCTCCCCTTGGAATTACTCATTTCTTTTTTTTTTTTTTTTTTTTTTTTTTTGAGAGAGAGTGCGTACATGAGTGAGGCGGAGGGGCAGAGGGAGAGAGAAAAACCTAAGCAGGCTCCACGCCCAGTGTGGAGCCCAACATGGGGCTCCAACTCATGACCCTGAGATCATGACCTGAGCTGAAATCAAGAGTTGGACGCTTAATAGACTGAGCCACCCAGGAGCCCCTGGAATTACTCATTTCTAACATTTGTGAATGAAAGGAAAATAACTGCTATTGTTTGTTTTGTAAATAAAATAGAATCAGTACCTTTCACGTGGAGGTATAAGGCCTCTCTTGCTATGTCTACAGGTGACCCATCCACTTAGCATGCAAAGATCTGTAACAGGCATAAAGGGATAAAGACAGGACCAAGCCAACACCCCACAGAACAAGTGCACATTTCAAGGATCTTGGCTATGCCTCAGAAAGCGAGGGTTACTCGAAGGATTTACTGTACAGCTTGTTTCTTTGAGTCACAGATTAGCCTAGATATCTTCTATTCAGTGTGAACCTCAATTACTTATATCTAAATCTCAACTCTGTACAACTTAGCTTTTCTAGTTTACACGTCCATCCCCCTCACTAGGATGTGCATGTTGTAGGCGGTTATCTACAGAATAGTCTACCAGGACGGAATCTGTTTACATAATTCGCTTTCATAACTGAGAGTTCTTTTGGCACAGTCTCAACGAAAATTAATGAATCATTACAACAAAAAAAAAAAAGGGAAGAGACAATCTACCTAAAATTTTTGCCTTTTACTATGTTTCTTCATAATTTAAGTACTATTTATTTAACTCTTCCCTAAGTGCTGGAGAAACCCAGAAAAAAAGAAAATAAAAATATCCCCTGGCCTCAAGAATCTTGGAGTTGACTGGAGAAGATGAATTAAAAACTGAAGAAAGGGGGGGGGCGGCGCACCTGGGTGGCTCAGTCAGGTAAGTGTCCAACTCTTGGTTTCAGCTTAGGTGGTGATCTCAGGTCATGAGATCGAGTTCCACAGCGGGCTCAGTGCTGACTCTCTCTCCCTCTCCCTCTGCCCCTCCCCCATGCACACACGCTCTCTCTCAAATAAATGAATAAATCTTAAAAAAAAAAAAAAAACCTGAAGATAATAAACCTAAGTGCTGTGACAGACATGGACACGTGTTGCACGAAGGAAAACTAAGCCTCTAAGGGACTCCCAGAAGAAGTGACTATTGGAGCCAAGTCTTCAAGGGACAGCTACTACCAGGTGAAGGAGTTAAGGAGAACATTCTCTCAGAGAGAACAGCAATGTACAATATGGGATGCTAAGGGGGCTCTCTCTCTCTCTCTTTTTTTTTTTTGCCAGGTAAGTGTTTTTTTTACAAATTTGAACATGGATATCTTTGGATTCAATCCCCCCACACCCTTGCAGGGCCCTGTTGGTCCGCAGACGCCTTGAGTTTGCCACCGTGGGCTGGAGAGATGGCAGGGTAATGGGAAGCCTGGAGGGGGGGACCTGGCCAGGTCACAGAATGCTCAGCCATGGTTAGAAGGAATCTGTAGCTGAGCCTGAGGGCCATAGAGAGCCCCTGCCCAGTTTTAAGATGGAGAAAGGTAAGACTAGACATGCCTCTTATTAAGACCTCCCCAGCACAGTGGGGAGCTGTCAGGTTGCTTCTGGAGTCCATGCAAATGACCATAATGCTCTGAGTCAAAGCACTGCCACTAAATACAGAGTTGGGGGCAGAGGGTATTTGAGATACCTTAAGGAGATGGAATCTATAGTGTTTAGGAATTGCTTAAAAAGAGGGAAGCACTTGGGCATCTAAGTGACTTAGTCATTAAGCATCTGCCTTCGGCTCAGGTCATGATCCTGGGGTCCTGGGATCGAGCCCCGCATCGGGCTCCCTGCTCAGCGGGAAGCCTGCTTCTCCCTCTCCCACTCCCCCTGCTTGTGTTCCCTCTCTCTCTCTGTCAAATAAATAAATAAAATCTTAAAAAAAAAAAAAGAGGGAAGCATTATGGATGACTCTGGGGCTTTTGGCTTGGACACCTGGAGGCAGATGACCTCATCATCCCTGAGGCAGGAGGGGGCAAATCTGTGGAGAGATGACCATTTCCATTTGGAATATGTTTAGTGCAAGGCACACGTGGGACATCCAGGTGGACAGTCCAGCAGTCAGACTTTTTCCAATGTAACATATTGTATTCAGGTGCGACATGTCCTTTCAAACTTAAAAAATCAACAAACACACCTTTTTCAGATACCCTTCACTCTCCCCAATATCTCCAGTCTACCCCTTCATTCATAAAACCACTACTTGGTCCAAATATTTATTAGCTTCCATTCTGCACTATTCTAAGAATCCCTCAGCTGGGCTCTCTGCCTTTAAGTCTCTAGGTCCTCAGAGCCAGTCTGCTTTCAGAGACTCAAAACCCTTTCTTTTACTTTCTTTTACTCAGAAACTTTCTACAGTGTCCTGTTACCCATCGGATAAAGCCTTGGGAAATTAGCCTTCTCTATGCCAATTATTCCTACATGCTTCTAGAGCCTCCTCATGCCTCTGGCCTCACCATGCACCATGTTCAGTCTCCCCGTGCCCCACTGGCCTCCTGAGCAGCCTGGCACACCTCCGTTCCCTCCTCCTTCCTGCTGTTCCCTGTACCCTGAATCCCTTCCCCACCTCTTCTGCCTGACAAATTCCTACTCATTCTTTAAAGCCTCTCATGAATGCCATCTCCTATGTGAAAAGGGCTCATTTCCTCACACACAGAAATAGGAACTTTACCCAAGTTCCTGTTAAATTTTATACCTATCTCCATTAATTAATTATTGTGTCCTCATTTACCTGTCCCATCCACTTAGACTAGGATTTCCCACAGACCCCTTACGCATCTTTGCCTAGCCAACCCTCAATGCAGGCAAGATGTTTCCTCGGCTTTTTTAAATACAGAAAAATGAGCATGAATGAGTCTCCAGGGTACGGATTTTTTAACCTAAGCGTGTTTTTCATGCCAAATTCCAATCCCATTTGTCTTTTTCTTCCCATGCAGACTCCTGGGACCCACAAACATGTACCTTCCCATTCTATCCAATAAAACCTTTCTTTGGTCCTCCTGCTACATGTCTCTTTTTCCCTGCTCACCAGACTTCGTAAGAATCTATTTCTACATCTCTAGCCTTCCCTTCTCACTCACCCCTCAACCCAGTGCAAACTGGTCTCTGTTCACCACTCTACTAGAAGGGGGGTCCCTCGTCTTCTCACTCCACTCTCCTCGCCCACGGGGCTAGCGCCATTAGCATTTCTGAGTCTGTCCCTACTGTAACTTCAGCTTCACGGGGACATCACGTCCTCTTTCTAAAACATCGCGATGCTCAAAGTCACTTATTAGGCTCCATATTCTACAAAGCAGAGAATAAAGAATCTTCCTAATCCAAATAAATCTAGTCTTCTCTCTTGCCACAACCCCATCAGGGGTGCAGTGTTGCAGCCAAACGGGAACAATCACTCTGCACTCTGACCTAACGATGCACCTACAAGCTTTCATGCCCTCGCTCAACCTGTTGGCCCTACAGGATCTGCTCGCCTTCTCCACTAAAATCCGACTTCTCCTCCAAGGATGAACTGCATTATTCTCTCCCCTGTAAAAATCCTCCCCTTATCCAGAAGTTATCATTCCCTTCACTGAATTCCTACAGCATTTCATCAATCAATCCATCTCTTACAACACGTACAGCTTCACCATCATAGCAGATTACTAGAATGTCGGCCTCCTCTACTGAATGATGAGCCTTTTATGATCAAGAGCCTTTTATGATCAAGACTTTTATGAGATTTTATGATCAAGACCTGTGTGTTATTCATACCTTAGCCCTCAAACCATCAGGGTCTCATGTATGATGAGTTTAACTGGATTAATTTGACTCAAGAAAGCCCCCAAGAATGGGAAGATCCCCCAAAACAGTATCGGTTGTTCCTTGACATTTCCTCATTCCTCAGACGTAACCATTCTACTGAAATACTATAAAATTCGGAATATTTTCAGGTAAAATTTTACACTGCAACAGATGTTCCTACCCATGGATATACCGTCAGGTTATTACTTTTTGTTTCTCAAAATTCAAGTGATCCCGCAAAACATCTCCAGAAACCAGCTCTCCCTCCAGCTGTGTCAGCTGACCCTGAAGAGTCTCCAACTTGTTTTCTGCTTTCTGGGCTCTCTGTAGAGCTTTCTGGTGAAACCCAGATTCATTTCCCAACTGGTCCACAAGCTCAGATATTCGGGCTTCAAGCTGGGAAACCATCTGGAAACAAAGAAACAGACAAGGATAAGCCTTGTTTTCAATGCAACAAAGTGTTAAAATCTAGTGCTCAGCCCAAGCAACATAACTATTTATAACACCAACTTCCAGATTCTTTGTAAAAATTAAATTAAAAAACAGGTAATTTGATAGCTGTCTTTGCCTCTCCTTGAAATAAATATGCATTCATTATCTAATAAAATATTTCTATTGGTATTTTTAATTTTTATATAATTCCTTAAACAGGTTACTTGAGAAATTTTATGGATCATATTGACTTACCCCTAAAACTGCCATTCATTTAGGACTTTCAAAGCTTAAAGCTTGAAAAAAAAAAGTTCAGACAGAAAGTGCTTTTAAACCTATGTAAGTGTCATTCTCCAGAGAAATTCTTCCACCAGATATAGTGGATTAAAGATTATACAGTGAGTTAGTTTTGATAATAAATTTATCGGGAATTCAAGTGCATAAAGATAATTTTTCAAGCTTTTTTTAAATTTTCCATTGAATATTGGTTACTCATGCACCAAACTCCGGCGATGCTGTTTCTGTGCTGTGTACTTAAGTAGTGATGTTATCATTTTAGCATTTGAGAGGTCAAATTTAACACAGCAACTCTATGTACAAGAAGGCAGGAGAATCTGATTGCTACCTCCTCTCCTACAAAATGAAATCAGTTTCTCCATTAAAGGCCCCACTTCCCTCCACACACCCCTCACTTGCCCAATGCTTCCATCCCTTCCTGAAGTTTCTCTCTGTCCTGATATTCCTTTAACCAAGAACATTAGTTTACCAAACACCTCAGGTACGCTCTGAGAATAATCAAATTGATTCTACCAAATCCAGTTTTCATGAAACATTGAATTCTATAAAAACACCAAGTTTGGGGTGATAAATTTGTTTTGTTTTGATGGTTTGTTTCAGAAGAGGAAAAGAAAAAAAATAGATATTTACATAATACTCAGTACCATTCTTGCAAAATTGAAATAATTTGGGGCATCTGGGGGGGCTCAGTCAGTTAAGCATCTGCCTTCGGCTCAGGTCCTGATCTCAGGGTCCTGGAATCAAGCCCCATGTCAGGCTCCCTGCTTAGACGGGAGTCTGCTTATCCCTCCCCCTCTGCCCCTCCCCCCACTTGTGTACTCTCTCTCTCTCTCAAATAAATAAAATAAAATCTTTAAAAATAATTTTTTTAAATTGAAATAACTTGATGGTTTCAGGTTTACAATTTCAGTTAAAAAAAATTCTGCTTATCTATCTATAACCATTTTGTTTTGTTTTTTTAAATAGGCTCCACGCCCAATGTGGGGCTCAAACTCATGACCCTGAGATCAAGGGCCGCATGCTCTACCAACTAAGCCAGCCAGGCACTCCTATCAATAATCATTTTTAAAAGCAAGAAGACACTCAAGCCATCCTCAAATATTTTGAAAGGCTATTATATGGAAGAATAATAAGGTTTGTTCTGAGCCCTCAGAGCTTAAGGACCAACAGATATAAATCAGAGAAATAATTCCACTTCAGTATAAGGAAGAATTTCTCCTGGTCCCCATAATTACAAAGTAATACATGCCCACTATAAAAGATTCATTAAGGATTTTAAAAAGTATAAATAAGAAAAAGAAATAATCCCCACCCAGAGAGAACAACTATTAATGTTTTCAAATAGGGTACTGGGGTTGCTCAATCAGTTAAGTGTCCGACTCTTAATTTCAGCTCAGGTCATGATCTCGGGGTTGTGAGATCGAGCCTCACATTGGGTTCCATGCTGGGCATGGAGTCTGCTTAAGATTCTTTCTCTCTCTCTTTCCCTCCTGCTCTATATTTAAATCTATTTTTATGCACTGTTAAAACAGAGTTGAGATACTATATTTGCAATTTTACGTCTTTGTGTTTACCTGATATTTTAAGCATCTTCCCATGTCTGGCAGTGGATTCCTAGTCACTGGAGATGGTAAGAAATTGGCCAACCATGTGTTAACAGTGTTATGGAGTGGACTGAAGGGCTACAATCAGGAATGTTACACTATCGAATCTCTAAATGCTCTAATCCTGTGCTTCCATGGTTCTCAAGGTCCCCGGTCTGTAATTCAATTAATTCTGTACTGCTATGGGTACTTGAAATCAAGTATTTGGTGGCAAGCTGCTTAGCACCACATCAAAGGAATTATATTCTCCAAGGGAATTTCAAATTTAATTACAGAGTATGAGCCTCCGAGAACCTCAGGTTGTTTTTTCCTACCATCAGCACTTAACTGATAATAGGTGTGATCTTAATGCAAGAGTCTTGGTACAATACACAAAGTAACTTACAAAACAACAGCCATCAAACAACACCCCAAAATACGGCCTTGGGAGAGGGGGGTGCCGTTTACAGATATTACATTATCTGTATGTATTTCCCCGAAGAAAGCAATGCCTGCCATAGAGATTGATCAGTAAAGACTCCATTTTGAAGATGACCCTTCAGGCACCTACAGGAAGTTAAACTAAGGCAGTGTTAATGACCCTGAAGAAAGAAGAGGACATCTTGATGGAGACCAGACTGTGGCACGGGGTCTTTGGAGTCAGAGAGTCCTGGTCTCGAGTGCCCATTCTACTCCTCACCAGCATGTGAACTGAAGCAAGTACTTAACCTCTCTGAAACTCAGCGTCTTTGCTTTGATGATCAGATGATAACTTAGATAATGTGAGTAGCACAGTATTGCACACCCAACTGAAGTTCAACGCACTGCATTCATTCTGATCATCAGTATTTCTACCCCAGTATGTTGGTTGAGTCGGTCCTATGCTTTTGTCATAAAGAGTTAAAGGGGCCCTGCAGGAATTGTCCTTTTTCATGTTTCTCAAACCACTGGCAGCCCATAGAACCTGTTTTTCAACTGAAAACCTTTCTGGGAAGCACAAATACGGGACAATGTGCTAAATCAAAGGTGAAAGGGTTCCTCCTGGATCCTCACCCTGAGTGGACCCAAGAGGGTTCCATGGAACTTGAAGACTCAGCATAGTATAACTTTTTTTTTTAAGATTTTATTTATTTATCTGACAAAGAAAGACAGCGAGAGAGGGAACACAAGCAGGGGGAGTGGGAGAGGGAGAAGCAGGTTTCCCGCCGAGCAGGGAGCCCAACGCGGGGCTCCATCCCAGGACCCTGGGATCATGACCTGAGCCGAAGGCAGACGCTTAACGACTGAGCCACCCAGGTGCCCCAGCATAGTATAACTTTTAAAACCACCAGTATGGAGATGGCTGAACCATGCAGAATCTATAAACTGCCCTGCCAAAAATTCTTGTGTCCAGAGAGGAGCAAACAGCTGAGAAGCTCTCCACATTCTAGGCGACAAAGAACTGAGCTTAGTTAGGTCTCGGTACATGTGAGAACACCATTTTTTTCTCAGAGCTAAATGTACATAGATTTATTCAAATAAATTAACATCCCAATCTGACTCGGTTCTTGGGAACATCAAATGGGTGCCTGGGTGAATATACGTGTCTTGCCAAAACTGTAAAGATGGGTTGTATTTTTAACACCAAGAACTCCAAAGAATCAGTAAGCTTTTCTTTCTTTATTTTTTTTCTTCTTTTTCTTAGTATCATCTGTTAACATATCCCTGATATTCCGTGGGACAAAATGTGCCAGGGATTTCAACACTAGCGATGTAGGGAATGGCGGGGGGGCGGGGGGGGGGTTGGATTATAGTAAAGAAAACATACTTCATAAAACAAAAAAGGCACGGAAGTAAATTATTCTTCAACAACAAGCAGCCTGTTTTTTGGAAGTGAAGTCATAATGCCCTAAAAGAATTAATTCACTTGCGAAGGACAAGTAGTTGTTGATTTCACCAGAGAGGCACTTTTGCCCTAAGATTAAACCAAATGGAAGACAAGAGTTCTAAACTGAGGAAGAGCCACTTGGGTCACTTAAGGACCAGTGCCTTTTGGACATAAAACTCTTTTCTCCTTATTCAAGCTATAACTTTTACTGAGGAAATATATAAACTATGTTGTCAGGAACCAGCAATAAAATATCAATCAATTTTTTTTTCCTTCTTATCAGTTTGTTTGCGTAACCTTATTGACTGGCTGTCCCCACTCCCTCCACCTTTGTGCATGTCCACTTTTGCTACAGGTTAAATTGGGTCCTCCAACAAAGAGGTATGTTCAAGTCCCCCAGTACCTCAGAATGTGCCCTTATTTGGAAATAGAGTCTTTACAGACCTGGGTCCTAATGCAATACGACTGGTGTCCTTACAAAGAAAGGAAAAATTGGGACACAGAGACACACACAAATAGAGGGAAAATAATGTGAAGATACAGAGAGAATTCCATCCATAAGCCAAGGACTACCTGAGGCTACCAGAAGCTAGGCGAAAAACCCGAAACAGATTCTCCCTCACAGCCTCGGAAGGAACGAATCCACCATGATTTTAGACTTCTAGCCTCCAGAATTAGGAGACAACACACCTCTATTGTTTAAGCCACCAAGTTAGTGGTACTTTGTTATGGCCATCCTAGGATATTACTATACTGTGATGCTGGAAGAACCAAAATCTCTACCTTTTCACTCTCCCAGACGGCCCTGTCACCAGGAGTGGCCATATGACATAATTTGGGGCAATGAAATGTAGTGGGAGACTGCCAAAGCTTCTAGGTAAATGTTTGATTTAGTGTATTGGAGGATTAAGAAGAGAGCAGAATGATTAGATCAGATGAGGGAGCAGGGGGGTGTGTGGAGCTCATCTCAGGTCCTTTAGGGCATCAGGCTGGATCCCCACGGCTCCCAGAGAGCCACTGAACCAAGAAACACTCCAGCAGAGGAAAGAAAGCCTTATGTGTGCCTAAAGAAGAACAAAAGAGCTGTCTAGATAAACATTTCTGAGCTTGTATGAATTATCTTTAACTTAAGAAATGACAGGGGCGCCTGGGTGGCTCAGTTGGTTAAGCAACTGCCTTCGGCTCAGGTCATGATCCTGGAGTCCCTGGATCGAGTCCCGCATCGGGCTCCCTGCTCGGCAGGGAGTCTGCTTCTCCCTCTGACCCTCCCCCCTCTCATGTGCTTTCTCTCATTCTCTCTCTCTCAAATAAATCAATAAAATCTTTAAAAAAAAAAAAAAGAAAAAGAAATGACATAGAAATCAATCATAATCATGTCCTCTCTGTACATAATCATTTCTCATCCAGATGATTAGCAGCTAGGAAACATCTAAAAGCAAGAGAAAAATGTTTGCCTTGAAATTCCACACTAAAATCTGAAAATGTCGCAACTTTCTGTCATGTGCAAGACATCATTATTTCAAAAACACCTGTTACAAGGGTACTGAAATTTCAGGGCTAAATAACATCTACACTCATTTAGAATTCCTAGGAACCCAACAGTAGGGCATTCCTCTAGGAGAGCGGTTTCCAACTGGCGATAATCTTACCCTCCAGGGATATTTGTCTGGCGGCATCTTTGGTTGTTACAAATTGAGGGGAAATGGTGCAACTGGTACCTAGTGGGCAGAAGCCAGAGATGCCGCTCTATACCCTACAGTGTACAGAACGGGCCCACGACAAAGGATTATCCAGCCTGAAATGTCAATAGGGCCAAGCCTGAGAAACCCTACTCCAAGATCTGGTAGCGCTTTTAAAAAGAGAATTTGGTTTTGCTATAAGCAGAAAAGCAAGGAACAAGCAGAAATGACTTACTGAAAAAGTGTGGGTGGTGCCCTGAATTCTACAGAGGACTGCAAACACAGGAGAGTCAAAATGAACAGCAACAAGGTAAACAAGAAAAGCAAGGTTCAGAAAGTAGGAGTCGACCTGAAATGGCGAATTTGCCAGGCCCCGCCTAAACCCACCCTTGGGCCTCCCCGGGGGTATTACTCAACTGCTGAGTGTGTGTTTAACCAAGGTAACTGTCCAGGGGTGCACAGCCTCCTCAACAAACAGGTTCATCAATTTGTAAATCTCCCAATCTTCAGAAACATTTCTAAGACAATATATGAAATCCATTTTCTCCTAATTTTACTTAAAGATGAGTCACACAAGACCCCAGCTATATGCTTGATTTCAGGCTCTTAAATAGTGAGAACAGCTATTGAAAAAAATTACAGGGTAGAAGAGGCAGACAAAGGCACTAAAAAGACTCTGAATCATTCCGATTTTTATGGGGGGTTGGGGAGAGGAATAGCCAGCTTAACCAATTTACATCATTTTGCTTTAGAAAATAAACATATACATCATGCTGACAATTTTATGCCATGTTTCACATGCTGAATTAAAAGAATTTGAGGAAAACATTTGGGAAAACAGAAGAGGGAAGCAATAAAACAAAATGGTGAAGAACCATTAGCTATTGAAGTACACTGAAGTACCTGCTAGTCAAGGTAAATAACCGACTGAAGTATTTCTCAGTCCTGGAAATAATTTTCTTCTCCAATCCAGTACCAACCACGAGAAAAACTGAGTTACTCTCAGAGACCTGCACATGTCACAGGATGACCATTTTATATCCATAAAAAGAATCCTACACTTGGACAAAAGGGTCACTTGGGTTGCTCCTAAGAACACACATGAATTCTGGAGAATTTTTTTTAAGATTTATTTATTTATTTGAGAGAGAGAAAGAGTGAACGAGAGCAGGGAGGGGGACAGAGGAAGAGGGAGAGAGAGCCTCAAGCAGACTCCATGCTGAGTAGGGAGCCCCACTGGGGCCTTGATCTCACAACCCTGAGATCACTACCTGAGCTGAAACCAAGAGCCGGATGCTTAACCAACTGCACCACCCAGGCACCCTGAATTTTGGAGAACTGTTAAAGGGAACTGAAAATGTTTGATCATTAAAGGAAATTGTCAAATTCAATCACGAACTCTGAATTAGTGATTTCTCTGGGTATTTTAGAAACATCAAAGGAGGGAAAAATACAATTTCTCCCTCGGACCAGCATGAACTCATGGAAGAAACAGATCACAATGGAATTATACCTAGGATTTGGATACTGTTCACTTTAAAACCTCATTAATAAGGACTTCAATAATTTGGATTTGATAGTAATTTAAAGAGTCAGGTTGACGTTGACACAGCTAAGCAAAGCTATGTAGTAAAGGAGAATTATTAATAGTAGAAACAAGATAACAAAATTCAACAATCTTCAATCTCATATGTGAATTAAAACATCTTTCTCCATGTGTTAAATAAGTCCCTTAAAAGACTGTTCAGGCACCACTATGAAGAGGAGGACAGAGAAGAAGAGAAGCAGGGACAGCAAGAGTCAATATTTATCATCATTATTGGCCAGGTAGTGTGTTAAGGACTTCATAACCATTATTTTTCATTTAATGCTTTCAGCAAACAATAACCTTATGAAGCAGATACTCTTCCAGGTCTAGGAAACCTTGTCTGCAATTCCAAAACCCCAAAGCATCTGAAAACTGATGGCTTTTCCCATCACTCACTTGCTGATAAAGCTTGACCTGATGGGATTTGGCAGCAAACCCTACCCCAAAGTGCCACGAAGCTTATGGTCCTGGTGCAGTCCACGCGATGGAGCCGCCACGGGCTTTGTTGCAGAACGATGAATGTGGTTGATTATGGGATGCTGCCCCAGACCCCACTGAGGAGGAATGTGTAAGAGCGTTCTCTCCATTACCATTCTGTGTTACTATTTTACCTTTCAAAATCCTGAAAAATTCTGAATTCAAAAATACACCAGCCCCCGGCGGGTTCAGATGAGGGGTGTGGCCCCAGAGCCTTCCCTGTCCAGTGGATGAGAAAACACAATCTCAGAGGCTGTCACCTTAGGACCCTGCCCACGTCACACCTAGAGTGAGCAAGTGTGCAGCAGAGACAGGATTGAGCACACGTAGCTCTGACTCCAGAACCCACATCGTAGTCAGCTGTCACTTAAGTGACTCTCCAGGCTCCCAAAGTATGCTATATAATTGAAAGTAATAAAAGCCACATTTAAATGATCCAGCAAATTACTGTCCTCAAGAATCTTACAAGCGGCCACCTCCCACTCACCCTTTTCCTGCTCTCTTCCTGGCTGGTCATTTCTCGGATCCTTTCCACAATGGCATCCTCCGTGGGCCCCGTCGTGTCCCCGCTGCCTCTAAGCAGGGCGGCGACTGCCTCCCTAAATGAGGAGTACTGGGTTCGCGAGGCTGCAGCCGCATCCAGACTGGCCTCCAGACTCTTCTCCAACTCACAAGATCTTTTCTTCAAGAGGCTCAGCTCCTGCTTCGAAGCATCCCAGACCCGCTGGCCAGCAAGCAGCCTTTCTTGGAGGATCCTGACTTCCCTTTCAAGAACTTCTTTGGTCTCTACAGCATGGAGCAAGTCCTGAAACAATTACAGACAGTGAAGACAGGAACCTTAGCAGCCACTGAGGGACACCCGCGTTTGCTTTTTATTTACCTTGCTTACAGACTTCATGGATTTAGGATTAATTCTTTACATTCCCTGTTTAACTGTAAGCTCCCCACCATCTTTTCCTGAAGTTATTGAATTGTAAAGGCAATGTCAGCTAACTGTAGGGGTCTAAGAAAGAGAAGGGATGTAAAGCCAGAGCTAGGAAAAGAAGGACACTGACTGGTAAGCCTTTTCTGTGTGGACCTTGAGAAAGAGTTAATAAAAACAAATTGCTGGCTAGCATGCTGGTAAGAAGCAATCCATAGATAGAAAATGTTTACAGAATTATCTGCTCTAGAGCTTGACATACATGGAAATTGATTCTGACTAAACAGTAAACTTTCAGAGTCCTACCTACTAAAAGTGTCCTATGCGCTAAGAATTGTCTGAATAAAGATGCCTCCTTAATACTATTCTAAATAGAGTAGTGTTTTCATAAAAACATCACTGCATAAAGGGAAATCAGATCTTTCTTTCAACATTCATTTACTGTGTATCTCCTTGTCTCATAAAATGGATAGAACCTGAAGAAGAGAGAGAGAAATATCCAGCCATTCAGTGGGTGGGAGATTTAAAGGAGAGGGAAATAAAGTACCACACTGAGAATAATAATTTGAAAGGATATAACGTGTATTGTTAGGGCCACAAAAATAAATGAAGGGCATAAGGGAGGCTACCTGTGCACCTACTTCTATTTACTATAATCTAGAAGGGTCCAAAGAGGCATAAAAGGGGCATCTTGAAAAGTGATTTAAAAAAAGCAACTTGTTGGGGCGCCTAGGTGGCTCAGTTGGTTGGGCGACTGCCTTCGGCTCAGGTCATGATCCTGGAGTCCCTGGATCGAGTCCTGCATCAGGCTCCCTGCTCGGCGGGGAGCCTGCTTCTCCCTCTGACCCTTTCCCCTCTCATGTGCTCTCTGTCTCTCTCATTCTGTCTCAAATAAATAAATAAAATCTTTAAAAAAATAAATAAATATAGGGCGCCTGGGTGGCTCCGTTGGTTAAGCGACTGCCTTCGGCTCAGGTCATGATCCTGGAGTCCCAGGATCGAGTCCCGCATCGGGCTCCCTGTTCGGCAGGGAGTCTGCTTCTCCCTCTCCCACTCCCCGTTTGTGTTCCCTCTCTTGCTGTGTCTTTCTCTGTCAAATAAATAAATAAAATCTTAAAAATAAATAAATAAATAAATAAATAAATAAAAATAAATAAATAAATAAATAAAGCAACTTGTTGACAGGGATTTCTAAAATACCCAAGTTCACATTAAATAAGAATAAGCAACTTGTTAACCAGCACTGCTACAGTACTGTAGCCTAGGTAAGTGGCAAAAAAATAAAGAAAGAAAATTTGTTATTTATTACAAATAGCATGTTAGGGTCGAAAGCAACAAAAAAGAAACACTATCTTTGAATAGTAGATTCCATGTCTAAAGAGGCCAGTAACATTTCAGGCTATCAGTTAAAATGCACTCATCCCTTTTGCACCAGAACTGAACTTCAGAAGGAATTTATCTCCACCAACAGCTTGGAGACAAGAAAGATGTTCTTTGAAATGCTACTTCTTTTCTTTTCTTTTTAACCAATTAAATCTTTATTTTTGCGATTTCCTGTTCTTAGCAAGTAGAGAGAAAGACAAATACCCTGGGTGAGAGACAGGAAGACACTAAGACAAATGATTTTATGCCTGTGCATCTTCTCTCAAGTACACCAAGATAATCATCTGCAAAGTTTTTTTTAAACCCTTATTTTAAAAGATGCACCCCCAATTTAGGCTTGCAAAAAACAGGTTATCATTGGTTATCATATAAGCCTGCTTTAAAAAAAATTTTTTTATTAGCATATAATGTATTATTTGTTTCAGGGGTACAGGTCTGTGATTCATCAGTCTTACACAGAGATTAAGAGTCTCTTATGGTTTGTCTCCCTCTCTGGTTTCATCTTGTTTCATTTTTCCTTCTCTTCTATGATCCTCTGTCTTGTTTCTCAAATCTTCATATCAGTGAGATCATATGATACTTGTCTTTTTCTGATTGACTTATTTCGCTTGCATAATACCCTCTAGTTTCATCCACGTTGTTGCAAATGGCAAGGTTTCATTTTTTTTGATGGCTGCATAATATTCTAGTGTGTGTGTGTGTGTGTGTGTGTATCTATATATATATATATACCACAACTTCTTTATCCATTCATCTGTCGATGGACATCTTGGCTCTTTCCATAGTTTGGCTATTGTGGACATTGCTGCTATAAACACTGGGGTGCACGTGCCCCTTCGGATCACTACATGTGTATCTTTGGGGTAAATACCCAGTAGTTCAATTGCTGGGTCTACTTCTTTACTTTTTTTTAAAAAGAGAATATCTTACTTTTTTTTTCCTTCTGGTGATATTTTTTTAAATCAAGGAAGTCCCTGGCATCAATTTGAAATAAAAAGTCATCGCGTGTGGATAGGTCATTAAAGAAAACTGGCCTTTTCAGAAAAGTAATGGCTAAACTAATTGTGGAACCTATTTCGTGAAACGCTTTGCTTCTCAAGGTCCTAGCAACAGTTTCATTTCCCCCTTCCCTTTCGATACCGGTCCTCTTTGTGGAGAAGCCCCACTGCTGCTAATTAAATTATGGCTCTTAAAGTAGAGTCAAGGACACTTTATCACAAATACAGTATTTTAACACTTTACAGATCTCTTTTCAGATAGTAATACAATAGCTACTCAACTCAGGTAACCAGTATCAGCACTGGTGATAATAAATTAGGCCCCTACTTTACTTAGAAATGACCATCCAACGTGCAATTAGAAAACTGAAGGTCCCAAATTCAATGATGTAGAGATGAAAATTAATTCTAATCCCCTCCAAGCCCTAAAGCCCTCTAGAATATTCTATGTTAACTATCATATGGAAAGAAAACCCCTAATGCAAAAGGGAGTTTCCATGACCCAGAGAGTGATATTTTTAACCACATACAAAAGGTCCTCAAAATACACACAAAAAAATATATCAGATGCTTGAGTACTACAGACTTACTGTCAGTTTGGAGTGTGCTAATCAACTGGCAGCTTACCCCAGGAGACCAATAAACCAGTTAAAATATTCAAGCTATGAGGAATTTGTTCCAACCCCAATATCAGACTATTGTCTCCCTGCCTTTGAGACAAGAGCCCAAACAGTCCCCAACAAATCCAAAGCACAAACCTTTATGACTGGTAAAAATCAGAAAACTGAATTTGTGGTCATAAAATATAGTGGCACGTGGCAGCAGGCCAGATTTCTTTTCTGGACCCATTTCAGCCCAGTGAGCTGCAGGCCTGGGGAGCCAGGGGCAAGGCCTTAGGGATGGCCCCTGCCTCAGCGCTCTGATTAAGTGCTTCAGGATTTAGGAGCACGGGGCTGATCTGCTATAAACAGAAGTCCTCAGACTACAAACGCAATTACCCACAGAGCTAGCAGAGCCAGCGCTGGAGTGGAGTCTGGTTGCATGGCTACCTCAAGGACCCACTCAAATAATGTGACATCAGTATCACTGGCCAGGCCCTGGGGACTGCTGTCAGACCACACTGACACACAGAACAAGAAACAAGTAGCACCCTCTGAGCAAAATCAGGGCTGACCTCCACAAAGGAAATCACATTTGCAAAAGAGGACAGCTCCTAGAGAGACAGTGACAGGGATGACTTGTTTAACCAAATTTTTTAACTTTTCATTGGTCCCACCAATGCAAGAAATGAATAATGACCCCTTCACAACCACTTTGAACAAAAGCACTTGTAAATAATATGACTAAGGCATTCGATTTACCTTCCCAATTGTGTGCATCCCTGTGTTAATTCCCAATTAAATGCATTATGTGATAAAACCATTCAAAGGTTTGTTTTTAAAATGTAATTGTTTCCTATTTTAATGTTGCTAACTACCAAAAATACATGCCTAATTATCATCCAGGTGGAGAACCTCTGGCTTGAGTTTAATTCATCCAACCTTAGAAAATTTTTGTAAAATGATGGGATGCCCGGGTGGCTGGGTCAGTTGGGCTTCCACCTTCGGCTCAGGTCATGATCCCAGCGTCCTGGGATTGAGTCCCACATCGGGCTCCCTGCTCGGCGGGAAGGCTGCTTCTCCCTCTCCCACTCCCCCTGCTTGTGTTCCCTCTCTCGCTGTCTCTCTCTCTGTTGAAAAATAAATAAAAATCTTTAAAAAAAAATTTTGTAAAATGAAAAACCAGTTGATTTTTTTTACCTACTGCATTTAAAGTTAAGAAATAAACACAGAAATTCTCCCCAAATATGTGCTCTTATACATTGTTGGTGGGAGTGTAGATAGGTGTAATTCTGGTATAAACATCTAACAAAATAGAATATGCACATACCCTGTGGTCCTGCAATTCCAGTCCCAAGAATAGATCTGCAGGATAGATTACTGAATATGGAAAATGACATATGTGCAAAGTTATTCCATTACAACTAGAGGGTCTTATGCTAAGCGAAATAAGTCAATCACAGAAAGACAATAATTCATATGATCTTACTGATATGTGGAATTTAAGACAAAACAGAGGATCATAGGGGAAGAAAGGAAAAGATAAAACAAGACGAAACCAGAGAGGGAGACAAACCATAAGAGACTCTTAATCATAGGAAACAAACTGAGGGTTGTGGAGGGGAGGGGGGTGGCGGAATGGGGTAACTGAGGGATGGACATTAAGGAGGACATGTGATGTAATGGGCACTGGGTATTATATAAGACTGATGAATCGCAGACCTGTACCTCTGAAACCAATAGTACTCTATATGTTAATTAACTGAATTAAAATTTAAAAAAAATTTTTTAAGTTATTCCATTACAATACAGCAAAAGATCAGGTACTACACAAATATTCACTGATATGTGACCAGTTAAACAAATATGAGACATCTATACCATAGAACATATGTAGTTCCTA